ACCAGCTCCGTGCCCGTCCGCGCCCGGAAGCGCTCGGCTGCCCCCACCACGGCCTCCCACAGCTCCTCGGGGCGCCCGGACGCCATCCGCGCCCTGCGGGACAGAGCAGGACAGGGTGGCTGAGGCTTGGCAGACCACATGGCCCGTGCCCGGCCCTGGATGTCCCCCAACCCTGCAGCTAGACCCTGGGGCTTGTCCTCAGGCGCCCAGCCTCTCCCTCCCCGTCGTCAAGCGTCATGGCCCAGCCCCGGCCCTTCCAACGTGGGAGCCGCTGGCCACGCGTGACTGGCGGGCCCGGAGACTGAGCACTGAGAAGCAGATGGAAAAGGGTCTCACTTGCAACCCGATGTCCACTGCGAGCCGAGAGCACGTCTCAGGTGGCCTGGCTGGTGCAGCAGTGGGCAGGGACCCCACCACGCGGCCTTTCTTAAATGGGGGTGACAGCCGGCTTGCAGCCCATCTCCCTGCCCTGGTCACGTGCTTCTTCCCACAGCTGTTTCCAGGCCACCCATGCACAGCCTTGGGAGGGTGGCGGGGGGCCTGCTAGGGCCAGAGCAGACCCCACTGCACCCCAGCATCGGGGACCCGCCCGGCCTGTTCGGGGGGACAGCCTCCCGGTGGCCACCCCATTCCTGGGTCAATCTTCCTCATGCCTTGGTGGACCGGAGCTTGACCAGACTCCTAGACTGGTAGGGGACAGCCCCCAGTGGGGCTCCCACAAGTCTGAGCAACGCGGTTCCAGCATGCCTCCCCCAGGGAGTAGAGTCGGGATCCCCCCCAGCATCTCCCCAGCAGGCTGGGAGCCCTCGCGGGTCCATCCTCAGCCACCGGGCCAGCCGGGAGCAAGTCCAGAAAGCGGGGCGCAGGCGTCTCTTTGGGCTGAAAGCCCTGCATGCACCACACCCCCCACCTGTCCCAGCAGCTGCAAAGGTCTCTCCTGACGTCGGCGATGAGGAGTGACCCACACCCTTGGGCAGCCCCACCGGGCCACGCCCCTCTAGCTGGTAGGTGCGTTCTGTGCCTCCCCCGGGCTGCACCCCGCAGCGGGCTCTGCCCAGGCCCGCTCAGCCCACGCGGGCAACGCGCCACACACAGCTCCTGGGAGGCCAGGGGGCGAGGGGCCGGAGCTGGCTTCCCGCCGGGTGTCTGACGCCAGCCACCTGCAGACTGGCAGTGCCCGCTGCCCAGAGGACCATGGAGCTCGAGGAAGCGCTCGGCAGCCGGGACGGGGTTAAAGTCTGGGGTCTTCTGTCTCGGTTTCGGATCAGGACCCCTGGAAGACTTGCTGGTCCTGCCCTTGTAAGCCACTGTGCTGGAACAGGCCGCTGGGCGGCCGCCAGGACACAGCAGGCCCCAGTGGCCTGACCCGCTCCAGCCCTTTGCAATTCAGTCCTCGGTGCTCACCGCCACGGGAGCGGCCTCCACGCGCACCCACCTAGGCGGGGCCTTGACTGCTGGTCCGGCCTCCACCGGCCCGCCAAGGTGTCAGAGGGGACAACCGAAGACCCCAGAAGCCACACACGCGGACGACACTGGTGTCACCATGGACAGACCGGAACTGGGACTGTCTTGCCCCAGTGCCAGGCGGGGTCTCAGCCTCAGACACGGGCTCATCGCACCCCACTTTACAGCTGCAGCCCAGACCCAGGATACCCAGCAACTCCCCAGGGTCACAGGGCAGAGGCCGCTGGGACGCTCAACCCGAACCCAACCTGCCCACCTGGAGGGGCGGGACTCCCCCCAGTGGGGGTGGGGTTGAGGCTCACGCTTGGAGCACTGGACAGAGGCACCCGGTCTGGCACGGGAGAAGGGGGGCTGAAACCGCCCAAGCCCGCAGCGCGGGGAGGTGCCCAGAGGCTCACACCTCTGTCGGGATCATCCAAACCCAGGAGGGAAAATGACTGGTCCAAGGTCACCGCGCCAGGCAGCACTAGGCCCAGCCGACTTCCAGGGACAGGACTCAATTCCGGGCGGAGGGCAGCACAGGGCTGAGAGGGGTGCACGTGGGGGAGGGGAGTGTGGGGGCCCGGGCCAGCGGGGGACTCACGCAGACCTCTCTGCAAGGCCAAGGTCTGGGCTGGTGACCCGGGAGAGCAGCCAAGCCTGGGGTGTCGCGCGCCCCTTCAGCTTCTGCAGGAAGCCCAGGGTCCTCCCAGGAGCTGGGCCGGGGCACCCCGGCCTCCGCAGGGCCACTCTGTGGCGGGAGGGCCGGGCCGGGCCTCCGGGGAGGCTGGGGGAGGTCGGGGAAGCTCGCGCCCCGCGCCGAGGAGGGAGGGGAGGCCCCAGGGCAGGAGGGATGCAACGGAGCCCCCCTCCAGCCACCTGTCAGACTGGCGGCGCCCGCGGCCCGGGGGGTGCGGAGCTCGAGGACGCGCCCGGCAGCCGGGCGGGGAGAAAGTCCGGCAGGTCCTCCACAGCTCCGACCGCCCCGCGGCTTCTTCGGGAAGACCCTCTTCTCCGGGAAAAACAGGAAGTCCCGCCCAGGAGGGGGCCTGCACCGGAAGTCCCGCCTCTGGACGAGTGAGGGGGCGCCCTGAGCCCCCCGGCGACCCCCCGAGCCTGGGGACACGCCCCACAGGCTAGGTCAGGATGCGGATGGGTCCGTAGAGCACAGGCACAGCGCTGTCCAGGCTTTGTTTGGGGGGGGCACGACGGTTCCCGCGGGCGACCCCTTCCCAGTGTTGGGCGAGGGGCGCCGCACGCTCGCTGCCCTCCGCTCTATGCAGACCATACCCCTCCCGCAGCGGGCTCGACCGCCCGCCGCCCCCCTCCCCCCACGGCCAAATCCTCCCCACACCGCGGTTCACTCGCCACCTCCACTCACGTGCCCGTAGCCAGCATGGCCGGCCCGGCGCCGGCGCCGCCCTCAAAAGACATGGCGGCGCCCTGCGTCATTTCCTCGCGGTGGGCCGGCCTCCCCGCGGCACACGCCGCCTCCCGGAGCCCGAGCCGCCCGAGCTCAAGATGGCGTCCACGGAGGCTTCAACCAGGTCACGGAGGCAAAAAGGACAGCGCGGTGCCCACACACAAGATGGTGAAAGAAAAGCTTCGGCCAGCTCGCAAGCCTAGACCACCTAGGCCGCCCGCAAGAAATATGTTCGTCCTCGCCTGCACACTCAGCGAACTGACGTCCCTCACCCAAGTCAACCTCTTCCACAGAAGTGGAGGAAAGCAGTGTCAGTCAGTGACAGGGCATCTAGCCTGGCATAATTTCCCATGCTGTCCTCCGATCGCGCCTTGTTGGCTTCGGTTTGCCCGGCTTCAATATGGCGGCCGAGCCCCCTATCCCCCGACGGTGACTAAGGAATTAGCACTGCTCACGGGGTGCTCGAGGTTCGCCCTGCTCACCCGCGCCCCTCAGCACGTCTAGGAGCACCTCTTCTCACCTCCTTTCTCAGCTTCGCCTCTCCAGCACCTCGCAGGCGTGCCCCGCAGAGAGCCACGACTGCCCCGCATTAAGATGGCCGCACACATTTTTACCCTCGAGCAAAATGGCACCTGTTGGGCTTCGATGCCAATGCACAACGTGGAGGAAGGAGCCCGCGAACCAGCCAGCGGCCGAGCCACGGGGCGGAGCCCCCCTGGGCCCGCCCCCTTGTTTACTTCGTGGCGAGGCGGCCGCAGCGCGCCTGCGCGCGCCCGCTGGCCGAGGCGCGTGGCGCCAGCCCGGCCACCCTGCCCTGAGAGTGGTTACACCCGCTCCCGCTCTAGATCCGGCGAAGGCGCTACCACCGTCGGGGCTTCGGGGGGTTTCTCCTGTCCGGATGTGGCGGCACGCTGACCCGGAAGCGGAGGGGGCCGGGCAGTGGGGCCTCGGCGCGGCTATGGAGGGGGCCGGTTACCGGGTAAGCCCTCGACGGCGCGTCCCCTCGCTTCTTAACGCGCGAACGGCCCCGCCGGCGGGGGG